GCCCAGCCAGCAGAAGTCAAAGCTGCACCCACCAAACCTGGATCAGTAGCATCGGCTGAAGGAAACCACCTGTCCCCCAGCAGCTCCCCTTGGGGGCACCTTGGAGGTTCCTCTCTGCTCTGGAAGAAGCTGGTGGAAGACTGTTCTACAAGCGGAACCAGGGCCCAGCCAAGTCCATCGCTGAGTATGTGACTGCCCTGTGGAAAGCAGCCAGGCCCTGCAACTTCGCCAACCTTGAAGAAGCTTTACTCGACCGTCTTGTATGCGGCCTTTGTGATGAAAGGCTTCAACAGTGCCTGTTCGCAAAACCTGCAATCACTTACAAAGGGGCCTACGTGGAGGCTGTCGCCGCTGAAGCGGCCAAGAGGTCAACACAAGAGGTCTGTCAGTGCCATATCCAGGCCGGAAAGGACCAGGCGGTCCACTACCAATCAACAAGCAACTCCAAGGGGAAGGCCAAGGACATTCACCGCACCCAAGCTACACGACAGAAGCGGACCCCACTGAAAACTGCACCGTGGCACACTTGCGCTGGCTGCGGCGGCAGTCACGAGCAAGTCCTCTGTTGGGTGCGAGGTTTCATCTGTTGTGCCTGTGGGAAGCGGGGTCATCTGGCCAGGGTCTGCCGGGCCAAGAAGAAATCACCACCGTCATCTCCGGGTGCAAGGCTTAAGGTTCGAGGCAATGACAGCATGCGATCCGCCGACTGCCACCGGACCGACTCCTGCAGTGCACAGCAAAAGTCCTGAGCACCGGAGCGAGCCCCAGCAAGAAGATCCTGGTCACCGTTCATCTAGACAGGGTTCCATGCGACATGGAGGTCGACTCTGGCTCCGCGGTGACAATAATCTCATCGCAGACTTGGCAACGTTTGCTCCTGTGATGGAACCGCTGTCGCTTGACCCCGTCCATGGCGCACCTCTCTGATTTCCAGGGGCAGCGCATTCCACTAGCTGGCCGGGCCAGTTTTGAGGTGGAATTCAAGGGGCGCAAGGTACAGTTGTACCTTTTGGTTGCTGAGGGTGACTGGGGCCAGTTTGCTGGCCCTGGATTGGTTCAAACCCCTGGGTATTGGTGTAACAGGTGTTAACAAAGTGTGCAAAAATAAAGGGAATTGCATTTATGACGAGTTCCCAGAGGTTTTTGGTGAAGGTCTGGGTCAGTATACAGGTCCACCTGTGAGGTTTGACCTGGATCCATCGGTGTTACCAATCTGCCTAAGGTATAGGAAGGTGCCAATAGCCATGAAGGCTAAAATAGAGGCGGAATTAAAAACAAACTTATTGCCCAAGGTATTCTTAAACCTGTGCCATACGGTAAATGGGGGACCCTGATCGTAACTCCTGTTAAATCTGATGGAACTGTATGTATATGTGCTGATTACAAGTGTACGATCAATAAGGCTCTGCAACAACATTCTTACCCGGTACCTGTAATCAGCCACGTGTTGGCTTCTTTTGGGGGAGGAAGGTAGGGAAGGTATTCACGAAACTTGACCCAGCACAGGCTTATCAGCAGCTGTCTGTGGACTTGCAAGCTGCTGAAGCCCAAACGATTGTTACGCATAGAGGTGCATTCTGGGTTACAGTTTGGGGTAAATGCCACCCCTGGCATATTTCAGGGTCTTATGGAAGGTCTTTTACAAGGGTTGCCGGGGGTGGTTCCCTACTTCGACGATGTGCTAATTGCGTGGTCTAACGAATCGGAGTTACTCAACCGCCTCTGGGCTGTATTAGAGCATTTTAAGGAAGCGGGTCTCAGAGTCAAGAGATCAGTGTCATATTGGGGTATCAGAGGTTGAATTCCTTGGTTTCCTGATAGACAAACAGGGAGTACACCCCACTGTGGATAAGGTTGCGGCTATTCAAAATGCCCCCCAGCCTATTTCTAAAAAAGAGCTGCAGTCCTTTCTAGGCATTTTGAATTTTTATCATTCGTTCTTGCCTTTCTTGCCTCAAAAAGCCTCGGTGGCGGAGCCGTTACATGCCCTATTGCACAAAGGGGTGGCATTTGTTTCTGTGAAGGAGCTGTTGTCCTCAAATATGGTACTGACTCATTTTGACGAGGACAAAATGCTGGTTTTGGCGGCCGATGCTTCCCCGTATGGGGTTGGTGCAGTTTTGAGCCACGTCATGGAAGATGGGTGGGAAGCACCAATCGCTTTCTACTTGCGGTCTCTAACGGCTGCAGAAAAAAACTATGCCCTGATTGACAAGGAGGGCCTAGCTTTGGTGGCAGGAATTTAAAAATTCTATGACTTTGTGGACGGACGACGGCTCCTCCTTGTCACCGACCACAAGCTGCTCCTGGGACTGTTTGCACTGGACCGTCAAACACAGAACGTTATTTCGGCCCGCATGTTGCGCTGGGCTGTCTTTCTGTCAGCTTATGACTTTGATTTGGAGCACTGTCCTGGCAAGGTAATCGGACATGCAGATGCTCTTAGCCGTTGCCCTCTGCCAAAAATGGACCCAGATCCTGCGCCAGCTTTTGACATGCTGGCAATTGATGAACTGCCTCAGCCACCGGTCCACTCTTCGGACATTGCCGCTGTGTTGGCTAAGGACTCTACCCTCTCCCGAGTCCTTAACTGGGTTTGGAGGGGGTGGCTGGCAGGGAGAGTGGATGCAGAATTCAAGCCTTACCACACAAGGCAAACCAAACTCTCTGTCAACAAGGGTTGCTTGTTATGGGGGAACTGGGTGGTGGTGCCTCCCAAACTGAGAGAGCGTGTATTGGAAGCTCTCCACGATGGCCATCCAGGCATAGTTCATATGAAAGCTCTGGCAAGGAGCTATGTCTGGTAGCCAAAGATAGACGCAGACATTGAGGACTGGGTCCGGCACTGCATGACGTGCCAGCAGTCCAGACCTGACCCACCTCAAGCCCCAGTTCAGCATTGGGAAACTACTAGCAAGCCTTGGTCCAGGCTACATGTAGATTTTGCCAGCCCATTTCAAGGGCAAATGTTTTTTATTATTGTTGATACCTTCTCAAAATGGCTGGAAGTGTTTAATATGCGTGTTACTACATCAACAGCAGTGATAAATGTATTGTGTTGGGTTTTTGCAACCCATGGTTTGCCAGACGTCCTGGTATAGGACAATGGCCCCCAATTCACCTCAGGGGAATTTGAAAAATTTATGTCTGATAACGTTATCAGGCATGTAACGTCCACGCCATTCCATCTGGCCACAAACGGGCAGGCCGAACGGATGGTTCGGACGACGAAGGAGGCTTTGAAGAAGTTAGGCCCCGGGGACTGGGGGCAGAAGTGAGCCTCTTTCCTTTTGCAGCAGCATATTACACCTTGCACCGCAACGGGAAGGAGCCCAACTGAGCTTCTGATGGGACACAGGCTAACAACTCTGTTAGACCGGCTCCACCCAGACCTGACAGAATCTAGACGCCCCAGAGCTGAGGTCCAAGAATTGCCGCGCACTTTCAAACAGGGAGACAAAGTGTTTGCACGGAACTATGCTGAGGGTCATTTATGGCTTCCTGCCATAATCAGCGATGTTCTGGGTACCCATATGTACGTGGCACAGCTTGCAGATGGTCATGTACGTGGCGCAGCTTGCAGTGGTCAAAGCAGGCATTTTTGCTCAGTTTCCATTGGGACATTTTGCAGGTTGAGCCACCTGGATGACCACTACTCTACACGATGAGAAATGAGTCCTGCCACTGCCATCCCAGCCCAACTCTGCTGTGCTCCGCTTCGACAGTTCCTCAGATTAATAACACCAGGCGGAAGCTCTTGCTCACCCACAGGAGAACAATGCCAACTGTACACGGGGGGGAGGTACTTGTGGTATTGGGAGGAAGAGAGAGCTTGTAAGTGGGCAATAAAGTCACAGCATTTTGAAGGTACAGCTGATGTGAGCAGAGCAGCACTGGGCAGGCCTGGGCCAGAGAAGACAGAAGGCCTGTTTCTGTGGTGTAGTGGCTATCGTGTTTGCCGAACACTCAAAAGGTCCCTGGATCAAGACTGGGCAAAACCATCATTTTGCCTGCTTGCAGGAGAGAGACGCTGGCTGTACTCTGGGAAATAATCCTTGTTCTCTGGAAGGAAGAGAGAGGTAGCGAGGGAGTAACTGAAATAATTATTTTTAGGGATGCTCAAACCACCCACCGACTTGGCTCACATCCTGTTCGCCGGTCACAAACAAGGAAGATGATTTTTTTTCTACGACTGGTTGGACGGTTCCTCAGCATGTTTGTGGCTGTTTGGCAAGTTGCTTCACTGTATTCCTTCCTAACCGTGCAGTGCAGTGCAGTTTACTTTCTTTGTGCATGCACATTCTCATGTAGCCCGATGGGGTTCCAGTACACCCGCCCCTAGCCTTGCTGCATATCTGCTCTCCTCAGCAGGCAATTATTTAAATAGACAAATCGGTCATAAATCATACAGATCAGTCATACACGAATGCTGCATTCTAATTGAATCCTGCCCTTCAGTGTTTGTCTACATAGTCCTTAGGAACACTAATGGCTACTGAGTGGTTATAATCAGCAGCATCTTTGGGCATGTTCGGTTTTGCAAAAACCCCACGCGAACCAGTTTGCCAGGTCTTGGGGCTGCTCACACAAACTAAACAGACCAGTTGATTGGCTCATGTCTGATTTTGATAGCCTTGACTGTTGAACGTGTTCAGGGTGAAATCTGCAGCATCCCTCAAAAAAACCGGAGCAGATTCCTGACCCTACCGACGAGCTGTGGCAAGATTCAAACCAGCTTCTGTGGGGTTGCAAAACAGATCGCAAATTTGCTTGCACCAGAAGGCGATCCCCAGATCGCAAATTTGCTTGCACCAGAAGGTTCTGAGAGTCAGTTTTTCTCCTTTGGGTGAAGATCCAGATCCAGGCCTGATGGGCTAAAGTTCATCCTTTGCTTGCCTGCTGCCACCACTCTCACCAGCATACAAAGCAGGCAGGACCTTGTTCTAATATGCTTGTAACTCAGTTAGCAGTGCATTAAACTGGACAGAGGCAGAGGGCCTGTTTCTATAGTGTAGTAGTCATCACGTTTGCCTCACACACAAAAGGTCCCTGGATCAAGACCAGGCAGAAACACATCATTTTGCCCATGTACATGATAGAGATGGGCACTGGGCCCAGAGAAAGGTTGCTTGTGGCTTGGGAGAAAAAGAGAGGCTACAAGGAAGCTAGAAAGCTAAACATTTTAAAGGTACAGCCTCCCTGACCCCTGTAGCCCCAGTCACAGCAGGGCTCAAGCCAGCTTCTATCCCCTGCACTGCTGAAGTACAGCATCCTTCCTTCAGGGGACACTTGAAGTCCAGGTTTGGTCAGAATGGCCTCAGGTTCCAGCAACAGGCCCATCCCTCCAGTCAGAACTGAACCATTAGCCTAAGTCTGCCTTTCTTACACTCCTCTGCTCTACCAGCTGAGCTGCTGTCAAAGGGAAGAATTACTATTCCACTGAGTTCTCTGTGCTCCATCATCCTGGCCTGGTTGGTTGGGTTACCCAGCCAATTTCCAAGAACGGTCCAATAGCAGCAACCACTGCAGAGAAGAGAAAATCCATTCAGGTGTGGTTAGTAAACTTCAGAGGTGGCTTCCTTTGCACTCCTGGGCCTCAGTTTGGTGGGCTGTCTTGGCCAGATGCCTGTAGGGCAGAGCTAAGACCTTCTAGTGGCAGGCCCAAGAAAATGGAGTCACTACAGAGAATATCCGACGATCTGCCACATGCAGCCTCGGGAGTGGCTGGAGGTGAGTTATGGGACCCCAGGCAGCTCCAAAGCTAGCAGCTAGAGAGGCAGCATGGTGTAGTGGGTACAGTACTGAACTAGTATCTGGGAAACCCAAGTTTGCTTATTTACCTCATTTATCACTTCCCTGTTTCACTGAGACTCAAGGTAGATAATGAAATATAGAAAACATTCAACCAGACAGCACAAACACTGCATCCAGGTGAAAAGTAAATTCCCCTTGGCCATAAAAGCTTGCTGGATGACCTGGTTGTAAGGATAAAATGGAGGAGGATCTACAGATGTGGCTCATCAGCTATTAGCCACAAGGTATAGATAGGGACTCTGGGGCAAGTGACGCTCTGTCTTCTTGGTGCTTGGGGGGGGGTCAACAGTGGGAGGGCTTCTAATGTCCTGGCCCCACTGGTGGACCTCCTGATGGCACTGGTATTTCTGGCCACTGTGTGATACAGAGTGTTGGGTTGGATTGGCCTTTGGCCTGATCCAACATTGGTGTCTCTTATGTTCTTATGATGTATCAGCGATCCACCATGTAGAGACTTGCTTCCCCCCCAAAGCAGGACAACAGATCTAGCACATCAAAAGCACAATACAATGGCTTGAATAGCAAGAAGAGGGAGAGGGCTGAAGAACTATTTTAGAACATATAGGTCTCATAGGGAACTAGTAGCCATAGTTCCTTAATTGTGTATCTCTTTTTTCACTGGAAATAAGGCCAAAGTCTTACAAGGTTCACCAACAGGAGTTAGTTCACATAACAGTCAGATACCTCCTCTGTGTTCCCCTTGCAAGAAGCATGTGAATCACTGAGAGAAAAGCACAGTTTGCTATGAGACAAAAAGAGTTTAACCAAAACACTTTTATGGCACCTTAAAGTTTATTGCAACACAGGTTTTGGAGAGCCAGAGCCCAGTTTGTTAGGTGCACAAATGACCAACGGACAATGCAGCATCAGTTCACAACCCAGGAATGTGCCCCGTGCTTTCCAAATGACTGATTTCATTACGTTCCTCCTTGAATCCTTCAGTGGCATTCCCCTCCCCCAAGCTTCATTAGATTAGTTAATTACTCAATACGGACACAGATTCTTTTTACTAAATCTGTGTAATCAAGCAAACCAATTTACAGGAGCTTTTCACAGGATGTCCCGGAGACTGGAACTTCCTTTTCCTCTGTTCCTGCTGTGCCATTTTCAATGTTTATTCAAGTAGAACATCCAGTCCCTGCCTGGCATACAGGAACCAATGTTCCCAGTCCTCAGCTGATGGCACTGAACACCAACAAAAAACTAAGCAAATTTACAAAACTGGTTCAAGCAGATCTTGGAGCGGGGTTGCAAGGGCAGAGGCATGATGCTGTGGTCCAAAACCTTTTGATCTGGGTGCTTACACAGTGTCACTGAGGATGCACCCTGGACTGTTTTAGAAAGTACTTGCCAAGGTAAAGATTTCCACAAAGGGAACAGGACTGTATTCCTCTGTTTCAGATTTGCATTATTTGTTGTGACTAAACTGACTAAAAGGACCAAACAGAGGCTATCATACTTTGGTCACATTATGAGAAGACGAGAGTCACTGGAAAAGGCAATAATGCTAGGAACAACTGAAGGCAGCAGGAAAAGAGGAAGACCTACCATGAAATGGATCGACTCAATCAAGGAAGCCACAGCCCTCAGTTTGCAAGACCTGAGCAAGGCTGTTAATGATCTTTTAGAGGCTGTGGCAGAACAGACCTGCTTTCACCTGCAGGCCCTATTCCACCCTCCCCTCCAAGGTTTTTCCCAACACTTAGAGGGGCTTTTTCTTTCTCTCTCAAATAGCCCGCTGCCACCACCTGACCTTTACAGGAATCACCCTCTGGGAGGGTGAGGGCTCCCAGCTCCCCTTCCAAATTCTGAGGCCTTGCCCCTGTGTCTCCTGCTGCCCGGTGCCTGGTCACCACAGGGACCATTTACTGCCTTGTGTGCCCCTGGAGGAATAGCCACTTGCCAACTGCCTGCCTTCCCAAGGCACTCCTTTTAAAATAGCCTGTCTGAGACAGTGGAGGGTCTATGTGGTACAGAGAACCACTGTCAGCATAAAAAGTTATAAAATTTTTATTAAAGAGAAAATGTTTACAAGCATACTTTTAGCACAGCACCAGATTTGAGCAAGGGAGACAGAAAGAAATGGGTAAAACACAAATTCTCTGTCCCTCTCTCTATACACGCCCTATCAGATGTTAAAATATAGGACAGGCTCTTTAAGCTTATGAGTTCTAAATCTCTACAAAGTTCTATTACCTTAAAGCTGGCTCCACCTCTTTAGGCAAGCACAATGGCTGCCTTCCCAACAGAGAGGTCTGTGTCCACTCATGAACTTGGCACCCAAGGGAAAAAGAGACCTCCTTCCTCCTGCAAGGAGTTTCTATTATATCTGTTTCTCCACCCACTGACCCAGTCACACCAGGTCAATGAGATGTTCCCTGGATCTCCAGGATCTCCATTTAACACCTCCAAATCTATGTTTCCTGCTTGGGGAAGGGGGAGAGCTTGGCCCATGCATTATCTCTCCTGCTACATTTATTTAGTATTTGTTTGAGGGTAAGCTGGAAAGCAGTTGCACTGACTTACCCTCCCTTCCAGCGTGTTCTCTGCCCAGAGGGAAAAAACTGTTAAAATGCACAGGGGAGGTTTTGCTCATTTCAGGCCACCCAGGGAAAAAATGCATTTCTTCACAGAGGTCATTGATTCATATGGTCTCCATAAATTGGAAGAGGCTTGATAGCACTTAACACACTCTCACACACACATTATTTGTTGTATCATCATAGTGTTACTGCATAGTTATCTGGGGTTGTTGTTTTTTTATTCCATGTTCTGCATTGTTTGATGTATTATGTCTGATATTTTTTGCATTGTTTCTAATTTTGTAATCCAAATCCTATTGGGTTGCTTATTAGAAGTCTCACAATATTTGATTATTTTGCACCGGGGTGTCGAATTCATTTGTTATAAGGGCCGGATTTGACATAAATTGGACTTTGTCGGGCCGGGCCATGTGTGTCGTAAAATCTAATGCCAAGTAGCAGAGATATAAACTCTATAAAGGACACAGAAAAACACAATTAAAGATATTAAAGCAGCTATTCCATTGGAGCCCCACATTAGGAGGGTGTGTGGAGACCCACATTAGGAGGGTGTGTGTGGTGAAACTAATATTTCTCTGCAAAACTGAAGTTCCTTGAGTTTGTTGAACTCTATATTTTAACTGTAGTTAGTCCCAAACCTTCTCCCCC